GAAGCATCAGCATCTGAAACATAAGCTCTCCTCTTCTAACCACAACCCTCTCCCACACCACCACACACTTCTCTTACCTCAGAGGATGTTGTGACCTTCTTTGAGAAAACTGATAAAATCTGCCAGTCCTTTTCCCATTTCCACTCCTCCTATCAGTCCTCACCCTTGCCCCCTCTTGATTGTCTATCTTGTTTTTCCTTTCTTGCCCCAGACAACAGCTACTGACACCCAGCAATCCAACCACCTACTCACTGGACCCCATACCATTCACACTGCTTAAGACAATCTTCTGGGACTTGCTTCCTTTCATACCTTCCATCATAAACAGCTCCTTGTCACCAGGGCATGAACCATCTGCATCCAAAACTGCAGGTGTGGTTCCTCTTGTGAAAATGCCCATGCTAGAAAGCAACCACATCGGCAGCTACCAACCAGTATCGCCCCTTCCTGTCCTCTCAAAAACTCTCAAATACGCAGTCTATAGTCAATTGTGTCTCTTTCTCACTCTGAACCAGCACCAGGATTTCAACCAGAGCACTCTTCAAAAACTGCCCTAATAGCAGGATGGAAAGCTCCATGCAGCAAGATCAGTCAAACTCTTGATTCTTCTTGACCTCTCTGCACCCTTCAATATGGTCAATCACAAGATCCCCCTATCCATCCTTGCTAAACTTGGAATGACTTAATCTGCATGGAAGTGTTTCGAGACTTTTCTAGACGGGCACTCTTATCAGGTATGAAAAGAATCCACATCCACTCTAGACAGATCTTCCTCTGGTGTCTACTAAGTCTCGGCGCTGGGTACTCTTTTCTCTTTACACTCTTTCTCTTGATGTTTCCTCTAATGGCTTTTCCTATAACTGTTGTGCTGATGACACTCAACGAACGCTTTCATTCCCACCTTCTGACACTTAAGTTTCCAATCGCATCTTGGCATGTCTGGCTGACATATCATCAAGGATGGCAGCGCACCATCTGAAGCTGAATCCCAGCAAGATTACTGCTATACATTCCAAGAATTACAGGTCCTTACCATGATCTTTCCATCTCATTCAAGAACTCCTAGGTCACTCACTGTCTAAAGATGCATGCAGCCTTGGTGTAATTCTAGATTACTAGTTATCATTCTTGGGTCATGTTGCACACCTGGTTCGGCTGTGTAGGTTTCTCCTCTACAACATTTGATATGTCAGCCAGACATGCCAAGATGTGATTGGAAACTTGAGTGTCAGAAGGTGGGAAGGAAAAGATTTGGAGAACTCAACTCTTTCTCACTAGGGAGGTAACCCTGGGGCATGTTCAGTCTATTGTCATTTCAAAGCTTGACTACTGCAACTCGTTCCTGTCTGGTCTTCATAAGCAGGCCATGCTGCCCTTGCAATGTATCCAAAACGCAGGACCATGGCTTATCTTCAGTCTACGAATTTCTCTCATGTCACTCCACTGCTGTGATCCCCTAATACTTGATTAAAAAGCCAACAAACTGACCTGCCCCTCTCTGCCTGATGGCAATGCTCAAAACTTGAGCAGTGTTTTGAGCCCTTGACTCAGAGTTTGAGCCCTTGAGCTTCAGCACAGCTCAGCTTGAACCGACATCCTTCAAGATACACGTAAGGCAAGCATCAAGACAAGCATCCTGACACCCAGGTAGTAGAATAAACTTCCACTGGCTGTCTGAACAGAAGAGTGCCCTGCTGTCTTCACAGACTGAAGACTCATCTCATTATGAAGGATTTAAATGAACACAAATCTAGTGCTTTCTTCTATTGCACTTATGTCTAATTTCTGTACTGTGTCTTAGCTAAAGGGTAGTAGCTGGGATACATTCTCTGAATGGACAACAATACAAGTTGTTTATTGGAGTTTCACTGGTTAACTATCACTAGTGTTATATGCTGGCTATGGCAATTTCTAGCTAGAGTTGTACAGGTAGAAATAGTTATATCCACCCTGATCTGTCATGTGTGATAATCATTTGTACTTGTTAGTTAAATGTTGATTGCAACTGCTTTGTTTAAATTGTTATTACTGTTGTATCAATAACAACAATAATACACTAATGTGCCAAATGTCATGGGATAGCAGTATGTAAATTGATTATGAAGTGGTGTTATCTCAGGGGACAGCCTGGGAACGCCCACACCTGTATAAGTTGTGAGGTGTTATCTTGTGAGTTAGGTTGAACACATGCCAGCATGCTCATGGCAAGGCGACGTGAATTATCAAAAGTTCAAACGAGGTATGATAGTGGGTGCCAGACCGATGGGACATTCCATTTCTGAAGTTGTGCAGGCATTTAACATTCCTCAATCCACAGTGTCACCGGGAATACATCATAGAAGGAATTACCACCCACAGTGAACAGCACAGTGGCCGCTCACAGGTGCTTAAAGATTGTGACCAGCGGCATCTGGCTAGAATTGTCCATGCAAACAGACAAGCGACTCTGGCAGAAATCACATCCACATTTAATGCAGCCATGGACCCCAGTCCACCTAAACATGTCACTGACCAGTGACTGCTACATTTCACTGCTTGGTGACCAGTTGCAGCCCTTCACAGACTTCATGAACCCCCACAATGATGGGAATATTCCAGCAGGGTAATGCACAGTGACATCAGACCCAAGATGTCCAGAATTGGTTTGAGGAGCATTCTGGAGAGTTCTGACGAATGGTGTGGCCTGAGCGTTTGGGGTATGGGATGTGGTGGAGAGGTCCATTCGCACCCAAGATCCTACACCTACAAATACAACGCAGCTGTGGGTGGCAATCCAGATGGCATGGCTTAACATCCCTCCAGACGTCTTTCGCCCACTTGTGGAATCGATGCCACAACGAGTTGCTGTATTTCGCCAGGGTCCTATACGATACTAGCTCCTGTCCCATGACTTTTGGTGCGTCAATGTAATAATAATGATAAGAGGAAGAAGAATCATAAAAATGTAATTAATAAAATCACAAAACCTATTTAATATACAAAAAATAAACAAAACTGACATTTGTTTTAAGTGTTTCTATTTTACTGTCATTTGTCTTTTGTTGTAGCAATCAAGACATAAATTGATAAAGTCCTCAATTTAATTTTTAAATATATTCATGTTATACTTTGCTTAATAACACAGTTGTTAAATATGCAAAATCTAGAAATAATCGGACAACTCTAACATAATCATATACTAAAATTGATCAACTGACCCCAAAAAGGGGACTAAATCACAGGCATGTGGTCATCCAGATGCAATGTCTAAATTTGCCAGAGCACACACCACTCTAACAAACACACCCACCACAACATCCCATATGAATATTTGTAATCTGTCAAATCCTAAAATCTACTGATCTTCAAATCACCACCTGATGGCAGTATAAATAAAATCAGTAGTTGTAACTGCTGTATTTGGCCACTAGAGGTACACACTTGTTCTCATGTTATAAGATTAAGAAATTAAGTACTTAACAAAATTAACAAACAAGAAGACCAGAATGTACTACTGAAAAGATAAGTATGTGCTACTCTCTTTGTAATGGTTTTAGTGTTTGCCATTGTGAAGTGCTACCTTATGAATCATATCTTATGAAACCATAGCACAGACATACGGTTAACTAACAATGTGATTTCCCCATTTGGCCACCCCTTTGGTACATGGTCCTTCGCATACTTTCCCAAGTATGATTATGAGCATTTTGTAAAATGAACCAACAAGCATCCGTCTTGCTACAGTGCCCTGTTTGGCCTTAGTCAAAAGCACTTCAGACAGGCAACTGTTTTAACTAGTGTCGACCTCTACAGAGAGAGTAAAGTATACATAAATATGTTTTCACATGCAGACATCAGGGAGTCAGTCTACGGCTTGCAAATCAAGCAAAACATACAGTCTGTTAAAGTGTAAGTTGTGTTCATCCTTTACGTATAGTGCATAGCTTGTCTCTTGTCACTCTTAGAGGTTCAAGACTTACTTATTTATTTGATGATGATAATTAAACAACAGTGACTGTATAGCTGTAGATCAGGGATGCACAACTCCGGTCCTGGAATGCCAAGGCCCAGAACAGTTTGGTGACTTTCTGGCTCAAACACACCTGATTCAACTCATCTGTTAACTGCCAGGATTAGTTTGAGTGGGACACCAGCCCTCCAAAGACTGGAGTTGAGCATCTGTGTCCTAGATGCTTGTTATAACATCTGCAGTCATTTCTTGTAGGTTGTAAGGCATACCGTTCTCATTACATTGCACCAAAACATGGTCACCAAAGTAACTATGCCAAGCAGTAATAGTAAAACCTCACATCTCGAATCATATCATGCCTAACACCATGGTGATCCCACTGTGAAACCTCAGGCCCATAGCACACTGACTCAGCATTCCGCAAAAACACCAACATACTGGAGTTCCAGGATAAGAACTGACAAGCAAAATGAACAGTGTGAATGAAGAGAACATTCTAGATCAGTATAGAACATACCAAAGGCTCCCAACAGTCACTCAAAGGTACGGCATACCAGCTAAACTCTAGGTGTCTTGGGGTTGGTGTCTGTTGGATAGGCGTCTGTGTGCTCTGGTCTTTTTATGCCAACACTACAATCTTAATTGTGTAACTTAAACTTGAAGATCTACAATAAATTCTGGCTCCAGGTTTATAAAACATAGCCTTTAGTTTAGACTTCGTTGTGACCGTGAGAGCTGTGTAATCAGTCATCAAATCAGACCTTACAGCTATAGAGGGAATGCAAAACTAAAGTTCTAGAGGGTGCAAGTCTGCAAAATTGAGAGCTTTTCCTGCTCTAGCAAACCGGATTTGACTCATGAAGGGCATGATAAAGCAAGCTCATTAAAGACAAGAACACCCCTAAGATAATGCTAATTTCTAATGACCGTGACCAGGAAAATGTTGGTAACTTTTGAGTCACTAAGCTGGGTATCTGACAATAGTTGCCAGCCTCAGTTTGGTAACATTTTAGAATCCATTTAAAGCTATAACAATGTATTGTTTACAAACCTGCTTGGAGGTTCTTAATGGACGTCTTCATCACCAACTGAACTGTCTGCTGCCAGTGTCTTTCAGCTACAGCAATGCGCCATTCTGGAGAGAAAGAACAATACAACAGGACAGTCTATCAGAGGACATAACTGTGCAAAAGCTTCTTTGCTGCTACTGCACAAATGTGATCTCTTTCAAATCACATATGTATGGCACTGTCAACAGGTGGCGCCAAAAGATTTATTCCTAGCCTACAAACATGGACTGTATAAGACTACAAAATATAATTAAATGTTACACTAATATGGGGTCATAGACACATCTTAGCGCATGAGAAACTTTTGGCACATTTCATTCAATGATTTTGGCACTTAGCAGTTTTATCTTAACATGCTTAGTTTAGCTAAAAATACTTTCATTGAGAGTAACCTTTTGGTACATTTCTCGCAGGACATTGGTGTGATGTTTGGTATTAAGATTTTGTTGACACAAAGTTTGCCAGATGTATCCTAGCCTTGGCAAGTGCCAGCAATGGTGTTCTAATGTTTTGGTTTTGGAATAAAGTAAGAAACCAGAACCAACTGTATGTGTATGCCATATACAAAGATGGAAAGCTGTAAAATCTGCTTCGTCACAACTTTGGTAATAGAACGGAACTGTCTTGTTTTTTGGACTATGCTAACCACGCCCAAGCAGGAGGGTTGATTCCAGAGTCATGGCTCTGTTTGCATGGATGATATTCTTACCTGTAAATCAAGTCTACATGTACCCATACTGGCTCTCATTACTTTCTTTATGTCCAAAAGTAACAGGCAAGCCTACACAGAAGAACAGCCAGTCAGACAGTCAGAAGTACTGATTTAGGATGAGTTTTCAGATCGTGACACACAGTAAGAGAAAGAGAAAGTAATATTACTCTCAAAGGCGTGGGAAATGGGTTGGTTAACAATTGCGAACATACATCTGAAAACACAGTAAGGTGTTTTTAAGCCTGGAGCAAATATTTGAAGCCTTGGAATGCATAATTAGGCAGGTAAAATATCAGCAAATGTGGAACCTTCTTACTGGACTACACACAGACTGAGCTATGTGATCCTTTTTGGGGGTATAAAAGTAGTACCACTCCACGAATGTATGTTCCCTGTGTGCTGCCATACTAACCTTTTGTGCATGTAAATATTAACTTCATATCCCTTAGAGAGAGCAGGAAAAAGATCAGTTATTTCCATAACTAGCAGAGCCAGAATGTGTTGCTGCATGAAAGTTACTACCTTGTCTCCTGGAAGGTTACAGACTCCTGCGTTTTAGACAAGGTTCCACAACTTGGTCCTGAACAAGTTGTTTATAGTGATAAGATGGGCATTTTAGGTATGAATGGAACTCTTCTTCTTCTAGATCGTCTGGGACACCTGTTTGATAGAGATTTGGCTGTTATTGAAGGGAGATAGATGTAGGAAGATATAATGGCATAAAATGGCAACACTCCAAAGCCATCCCATGTGAGATCCACAGAATACTTAGCAACTTTAGTTGTAAAATGATCATAGAAGTTCAATCCTGATTTTTTTTGCAAGTGCAATGCCATGTCTAACTTAGAAAGAAAGCTTACAATCATATTTTCACACAGAACTCTAAAAGTATGCCTTAAATGGGTTCTGCAACATATGTAACAAAGTGACCAAAAAGAGCCACATCTGGCACAGTACTGAGGCTCTTTTTAGTCACTTTGTTGTATATACTGTAAAACACATTTATGGATGTTATCACTTATGAAACTCCACAACTGTTCGAACACCACCTTTTGACATCTTGCCGATAACACATCACTGGTCTTCTTGGTCATCTACAAGGAATCTCTCATCAAAAGCCAGTTTATATCTGTAAAAAGAGAAAAAGAAATACATGGGAATGTCTTGTCTCCACTAGAATAGTTGCATAGTCTTGGTACATCAGTATTTTCAACCTAATCTGGAATATTGTTCATTCCTACATTTTAAGTGTCAAAGGGTTACATGAACTTGATCTTGGGAACCACAAGTGATCTTTCTCTGTTGTAGTAAGTGCTGAGCATGACTGAGATGTATTTTGTAGAACCTCTGGTAAATTCTTTTGCTCTACTCCTGCCTGACAAAAATTTCTACAGTTTGCCAGCCATGAAGTATTCTTTCTTACACATGTTGAAAAATCTATAAACGGATACATACTATTTCTGAATTCCATGATTGTTCCCACAAAACCTTTTGGCTACTTGCATGCAACAAACCATCATATCCTGTTGCCAGCTGGTGCAAATCACTGCCCTGGTGAAAAAACATAACAAATCACAGACTAATGATTTTTTTCTAATTAGAATAATGAGTCAGTACTGACACAGACTTTAATAATAATATATAAACAGACTTTAAACTCCAATTTAATATTTTGTCTGGACCAACAGTGACACCATACCGAAATTTGAGGAAGTGGGATTACATTTCAATGATTAATCAGTCATTTTCTTATAATAACTTGGGCTAATGAAAGAGTGTAATTGTTTCATATCAAACATCAAAACTTTGGATACTTCCTCTTTCCCTGTTAATATGGAGCAACTGTAGCCATGCGATGTTGTCTGTTAGGCCATGTAAACAGAACTGAGGAGTCAGCATTCTTCTCCAGGCAAGGTGTCCTACTTACAACTTTCACAGCTTCTAAAGATGGAAGATGGAAGCATTCTCCATCCCAGGTCTGCAGGGTCTTATGGATGTAAATTTGTCAGAATTTGTCAGAACTTGTATAATCCAACATATATGAAAAGCTGTGCAAGGTAAATGCTATGGGCTAGGGTTGGGGTGGGTTTACAGCTTGTACTTCGTGACAGCATGTGTGGGTCCTGAGGTCCTGGTGTGGGTTTCTTATAAATTTCCTCTCTTTCAGTGATTCATACAAAAATAACTTAAGTGCTATGAATTCTTTTGTGCAGGACCTTCAGCCTGCTAAACATGAGTGAGTGAGTATGTCTGACTTACAAACCTGGTTCTAAAAATAATACACTTTGTTTAGAATGAAAACAGGCAATTCACTCATTGCACTGGGCATTTCAAGGGTTCATGGTCCACCACCAAAAGCACAGCAGCCCAGAGCCAAAATATAAAGCAATGAAGAACTAGGTAGGCTGGCTTGTTAACCCCTTAAAATCCTAGGCTTATTACATACTAAGGTTTATTATTCAGTAACTACAGGTCAATCAATGCAAATTGGTTAAGTTATTCTTACGTTATGGAAGTGTGTGATAAAACTTTGGGCTCGCCAGTATGAAAGACATCAAGTAATCTCATAGTTTAACTAATACTTTGGGATATTAACTAAGGGATATTCACCCTTAATCTTTGCAGCTGTATGTATTTGCAGCTTTATTTCTGCTATTATCATCACTGTGGACGTGGCTGTATTTTTAAAATCAAATGATAAGTATGATGCCATAAGAATTCATGTTTATATTAAGGGTGTGTTGTTAAGCATTATGTAATGGACCTATCCATGATCCATCCATACATGTGTTTTTTTGTAGCAACAGTTGGTTGGACAAGTTTAAAAGAATGTTTGCAAAAATTCAACAAGAAACAATGAGAACAATGAGAAATTGTAGCACACTTTTTACAGCTGCTATATAAAGTTTTGTTTCCAGTCTAACCAAGCCTGTGATGCTCTAGCCAAGAAAACAGGCTGACTACAAATTTGTCACCATGCTAATGACATGCACTGTATTCTAACCATATGACCTTTTCCATGAATACAAAAAAATATAATTTGAAATAACGCTCCCTAAATTTAGGTATTTTCCTTCAAATTCAGGCTGTGCCCTACAATTTCTCATTAGGTTGAATGGATTTTGTGCCACCATTCTGTAAAGCTTGTCCAACCTTGCCACATCTGCCACAAAAGTATACATTTGTGGGTGGAGCATGGATAGAATGGATAGAACGAATAGCAAGTCTACACAATAAAACGTGTCTTTTTGGTATTGGAGACAGGCCTTTTTGTGATAAACACATTGTAAGTGCTGTGATGACAGAACAGCTAAAAGTACCTCACATGCCCAACACCTGAGTGATGTATTTAGTTTGGCAGGAGTGTAATGATCTCTAGCAAGTGTTTCCTTCTGCTGGGCAGGAACTATGTGCTCCAAATAAACAGTGAATTAAAAACACATACATTGACAGCTCAGATATCTATCTTGAAATACTGCCTGTAAAATATTTTAATAAAATACACTTTAACAAAATACTTTAACAAGCATATCTGACTATTCTCACTCCCTGTGTTATGTGTAAAATGTGTAAAAGAGTAATTACTACTGTCACAACAAACTTGCATCACCATAAGGAGCTTTTTAATTAAGTAAATCTATATGAACTAGTTTTTTGTAGCCCTATACAAAATACATGTATTTATTCGTTCTTGTAGCTTGCTGACTGTTTTCCAGCCTTACAGTGCACAAAATGTGACTGCAGTTCTGATGTAAGTAGATATTAGAAGTTTTTTTTTAATAATATTATATAATATATTTTATTGGACATTGGCACACATTCGACTCAACATTACTCACTAAGGGAATAAACTCCAAAGTCTAAAAAATCATGCTGGAACTAGACTTGGCCGTAGCAGACTTAGCCTCTTGGATCAACAACCTGGAAGCAGTGATTTGTACTCTGGCACAGCAACACCCCAGTTAGATAATAAAGTTTCATTAACAATCTGAAGATTTTAGAAAATTACAAATTAGAGTGATTTATTAGTTATTTTTCACAATGAACAACTATGTCTATCTGTCAAAGAAAGTGAAAAATAGTTGTTTAGAAATAAAATACAGGTAAATTATGAACTGTAAATAGTGTTGCATTTGCCTTGCTACCATTAATATAGTTTAGCAGATAAAGAATCATCTGTAGAGCATGGGGGGATAGCACAAAGTGCTCAGAATGAGGACAGGGGCAGGTAGATTTATCTAGTGAGTGATCCAGCGTGAGCTTGCATCAGCACAGCTCAGGGAATTAATGTCACAGGCTATGTTGTTCTTCCTAAACCCCCTCTGGCTCAAGGCTTCCAACCACTCACATAATTTCCTAAGGAGACCTAATTCTTTAAGGTTCAAGTGGATGGAAACAACCAGACTGCCTTGGGAGGTGCTTAAACTGATGTGAATGATAGTTTCACTTGTGAAGAGCAGAGTAGGCCTGCAAGTATTACCTGGTCAGAGAGGAGAGGAGTAGGTCATACAGAGGTTAAGGCTGACATTTGAATATTGGTGTTCCTCACTGTGAAGATTTGTTACCTGTATTATCAATCACTTTAAATGAAGCTTCTTGGTTTTCTTTCTATGATAATACAACACAGCTCAAAGAAGAGTCCCAGGGTCCTATAGTAGGAGCACTAATATACTGTGGCAACTGCCACACGCTATGTGTTTCAAGAAGGGGCTTTGGAGGCATGGAATGCAGAGCTGCGCCATGTGCTGTTGGGGTAGTTAGTGGGGTTTTGCTAACTGCAAAGTGAAGATGTATGGCTAGAAATGCCCTGCCTCCTATCCCTGGCTGTTTTTCATGTGCCTTTTCTGCTGGTGTGAATAAAAGAGCACTTCTCATGGCAGAAGTTTGCTGCGTTCCAAAGTCTAGTCTGCAGCCGAGGTAGGCCGCATTTCTCAGCCGCTATGTCATAACAGGCCGTTCCAAAGTGAAAGACCCTTCAAATACAGCCTAGAAATGCAGCCTACATTCTGAGTGATTTCAAGGACGCGTCAGATGTATCCTTCCAGGCCTTCGGTTACCCACAGTTCTCTGTGCACAAACAACAGGGTTTGTTTTAAAATGTAAGTTGTTTGTGTACTTGAATTCATCTTTGTTACGCTGTAAAGTGTAAAATGACTGATTAATTAAAGCATTTGTCCATATATCACATTTCATTTAGAAGTATTTGTATAAATGTAGTTTATCGTACTATATAAGAACATCTCCATTTCCATGAAGAAATGAAAAAGCAGCAAACACAATGGGCTCCATATTCTTTCAACAGTTCCCTCACAAATTTCGCGCCACTCTGGTGACGTCACCAAGCAGCCTCGTTAGGACTGTTCCATTTGTGTGACCTACTACAGAGTCTTCATAGGACAGTCCTTCCGAGGACCCGCACTACCTCGGCTGCAGCCTAGGCTTTGGAAAGCAGCTATAATGGCGCCTCCTGCGTCTTGTTCTATGCTGACCACACTGGTGTCAGAAGTGGAATAGCATCACCAAGTGGTAAGAAGTGGTACGGCGCTTTCAGAAATTTACAGGTGGACGGAAGAAGAAGACATCAGAAGAGAAGCCGGTGAAAAAGCAGTTCAATGAGGACCGGCAGCGGAGACAGCGTAAGAAACAGCGCAGCGAGGCTTGACAGCAGAGCCCAACTGGAGCACAGCGAGAATGAGCCCGCATGCTTTCACTCTGACACTACAACGGCGAGAGGGACCAGGAGCAGTACTCCTCGCAGCTGCAAGTGGTTGCCCAGCATCACGGCTTAACGGCAGCCATCAACGTGACTCAGCTGTGCCTGGCCCTGGAAAGGAAAGCTCTCTAGGTGCTCGCAGACCTGCCAGCAAAGCAGCACGGTGACCTATTGCCATTGACCTATTGGAGAGGATGCCCACAGAGCTGCATTTCTGCTACCTGCCAGGGTCAGAGCAGGACAGTGTGCCTGGAACAGGGTGCATTGACGAGCCACTGCGGTAAGGTCGCGGCCCCAAGAGAGGACCGGGGGCGCCTGTGGCTGAGGATCGTGTAGTCTGTGGCACTTGCGTTGACCAGAAAAATGGCCATTCAGAAACCCCTGCTAGAGAGACTGCAGGAAGGAGGTTTGGGGTGTGGGGACAACGTGCCCCCGCACACCTCAGGAACTTTGTTCAGACAGTGTGGGGTCGCCAGGACAGCTGACCCTTGAGGTGGAGGGCTATGTGGGGCTACCACACACTCAAAAAATGGCTATGGAGGCGTGGTCTGCAGAACTGCACCACGTGCCCCGCCCCCTCTGTAAAAGGGACGTTAAATGTTGTTAAATGTCGTTAAATGTATTGTTAATGTTGTTGTTTATGTTGTTAACGTTGTTTCTTAGTTTAAAGTATGTTTTTTGTTATTTGTGTTATTCTGTGTTTGGCTTTTTGGGGTAGTTAGTGGGGCTTTGTGATAACCACAAAGTGAAGATATATGACTAAAAATGACCTGCCTGCTGTCCCCAGCTGTGTTTCATGCGTCTTTTCTGCTGGTGTGAATAAAAGAGTATCTATCGTGGCGAATATAATGGCCTCTCTTGCATCTTGCTCTACACCTTGCCACAAAATATATAGGTTTGAATATATAAACTATATAAATACATCCAAGTACTTTTAAAACATGTAAAACTGATCCAAAAATGTACTCCGTGGCTGACGGGTTTGTGATATAGTTCCTGATCCTGTGTAGTGCCGCCCTCTGGTGGTAGGAAGATGAATTAAGTATGCTGAACATAAAAACGTTGCACAAAGTAGTATATTGTCTACATTTAAGTTTGTTTATCCATCATCATGAATTTGAAGGTGCCTATCGAAAATCATTTCATTGCGATCCAAACAATATTAATAATATTAATTGTATAATTTGTTTATTTTATTTCAAGGTACTCCACGGGGGACAGCAGACTTGACTTCTTGAGCAAACACGGACCCTTCAATGTATGCAGCAAGATACTATGCATCCTCTACCAGTCTGTGGAAGCATGTGCCATCTTCTTGGCAGCAATGTGCTGGGGAAGTAACATAAATGTGGGTGATACCAGGAGACTGAATAAACTGACCAGGAAGGTCGTTCAGGTCATTGGACTCTCTGGAATTCATTGCTCAGGAGAGGATGCTGGCTAAACTGTTGCACGTCATGCACAATGTCTCTCACCTCATGCATGAGAGTTTAATCAAAGAGCAGAGCACTTTCAGCACCAGACTAATACAGCCACAAAGAAGCAAGGAGCGGTACAGAAGGTCTTTCTTGCCTGCCACCGTCAAACTAAAGTGGGGTCCAAAGAAGACCACCAGTGAAAACGCTTAATTTTGCATTCCTTTCTAATTTAATACCAAGGTTTTCTTTACAAATTATACTATCAGCATGTGAATTTCAGTGAAAAGCAGAAAAAAGTCTCAGTCTTTTGGGATCCAATGTATATAACTCACCTGCCCTGGGTCAGATTTACATACTTTATTTATTTTCACATATATACATATATTATTTCACTGGTCACTTAGTCAAGTTAAACTAGCCATTCACAGTTTTATTGTCCATCTGTCTGGACAAGATCTACCTTACACAATAATGTATCAATTCTGAAGATAAAATGGAGATTGCACAATAATCTAATAACATGCAGGCTGTAATTGATTGTCACTAATAACATGTAGGCTGTACCATTAACACATATTTTCCATGTATATCTATGGATTGTGATGTTAACTATGCTGCATTATTTTAATTTTCATTACATTTCAGGCTGATTTTACAGTATAAAACATACATTACTATATTCCAGTTTTAGACCATGTTTACTTCATAGTTTTAAAGGCCTTTTATTTCATTTTTGATTGTAAAAAAACAAGACAGTGACACTAAATAATCTAGTTATACACTGATTATATTGATCAGTGGGTTTATCAGTTAAAACCATTAATACAAACAAAAACAGAAATAAATTAAAATATTAAACAGCTTTGGTCATTACGCAGACATTCTTAGGCCATACAAACAGTCTGTGATCAGTAACACAGGATACTGATCACAGACAGGATAATGAATCTGTATGTGTCCACTCTTTTTAACACATGCCACATGTGCTGTGCAAAAAATAATATTTTGGACAAACATTTTGCAATAAAATTAACTTCAGTGGTAAATAATTATCCATGATCTAGTGAGCAAAAATATTTTTCCTATCATCGATCAATGTATGCATTATAGGATAAATGCAATAAATTAAACAATGCTTCATTACTTACCTGTATTTATAGTTCTGTGGGTCTCCATGTATGCTCAGTGCACCACTGCAGAAACGGCTCTGCTCTTCTCCAGTTTCTTCTGGTTGCTTTCCTCCTCTTCTCTCTGCGGTGCATGGGTGGAACAGAGTGAGGGAGAAGCTGCCTTTTATGCAGAGCTGTGTGTGCTGTATCAGTAGCAGCTCTGGAACTTGAGCCAATGGGAAGAAAACATGTGCATGAGACCATCTGCAATGGAAAAACAAATCCGGTAAAGATGGTGTGGATTTTGCAGTGCATGGGAGTATCGTCCAGATGCTTGAGGCCCAGGCAACAGATGCACTGTTGCTCTATTTAAAACACACATGCACACAAACACACACCTTTCTATCTTAATACACTCTCTCTTCCTGCAGCTGAGTATTGAATCCGAACAGGCATAGAGGTACCAGCACCTGTGTGGCATTTTTAGAAGAGCTTTTATTTGCTTTTGGCAACTGCAAACCTGAGGTGTCACACACAAATATATGAGGCTGATATTGCTCTAAGAAAAACGAATGGTAAGATGCTCAAAAACCTTCATTAAGCATCTTTCCGCTTCATCTGAATTAAAAGAGGACTATAGTTTATCTTTTAACGATAAGGACAAGATATAAGATCTCTTCGCTTTTAATACTTAATCTTATTTCCTGGTGAACCGCTTTGTCCAAGATTTGCATCCTCCCACTATCAAAACCCAAACATAAACTCACACCTTCAGTTTCTGGAGTCTTACTCTTGCTTGGAAAGTGATGGGCAGAGATGAGTCTTCTCCTTTTCACTTCAGACCTGTGAATAGATTCGCCACATTAGCCTCTGTTCTGGCTTACAGTGTGCTGCTGAACTAATCCGCCAAAGGTTGTAAGCTGTCAATGAGCTCGGCCAGACATCTGTGAATGGACACCTGTAACTTCTAGGCTATTTGTGAACTAAGTCGCATTTTATTCATTCTTATTCACAGAACTAAGCACAGGTGGTCGATACCTGAGCCTGAATTAGCAAAGCTGAACTTTATCACAAGTTTAACTGGGAGACAGGTGGATTTCGCTTTAAAGCCTCTTTGAAGTCTACTTTTAGATGGAGCACATGCTACATATGTCTTGAGGAGTGTGCAGATCAGGCCATTAAAAGATGTTACACGGTGACAAAATTGCTGATTTGACAGCTTATGGTACATATACATGTGTGCACCCATGTATACACACGCATATGCATACGTACACTGTATGTCCAGAAGTTTGTAGAGACCTGCTCACCAAATATTTCCTCTGAAATCAAACTGAAATCAAGGGTGTTAATAGAGAATCAGAGAAGATATAAGAATCATAATGTTTCAACAGATATTCGCTTTAAAAAAAATTGGCATCTGACAAATGTTAAGATTTGACTGATACTTCAAACCAATATTTGATGATGTAGTTTTTGAATTCCAGAAAAGCAGAATGTCTAGGTGAAGCCAGGCTAAAATGTCAGCATTTTATTAATTTTACTGCATCTGTAACCTTCTACAAATAAATGCTACATTTCTCAGAATTGCTAATTTAGGTAGATTTAGTCCTACATGTTATCAAAATGTTTATGTATCGGCATTGATATTGTCATCAGCAGATATGTATGTGAAAATATTGGATATCAGCATTGACCCACAATTGTCATATCGGTGCATCCCCTATATTACTAGGGAGCATGTCCCCCCTTTGCTACACGACTTTCTTGGGAAGGCTTTACACCAGATGTTGGAGCATTGCTATAAACTTTTGAATGCATTCAGCCTCAAGAGCATTAGTGGAGTTAGGTACTGATGTTAGACGATTAATTCTGGATCAGAAACACCACTCCAACTCATCCCAAAGGTCCTAGATGGAGCTCCATCTCTCCAAAGAATGCAGTTCCAAAGCCCCCAATGCCAGGGGGCTTTAGACCCCTCTATTTTACACTTAGCATTGGGCATTGTGACAACAGGCTCATGTGCGGCTGCTCCAGAGTGCCTCACTCTATTAGTAATGCTTTTCTTTGCTGATTATACAAACTGAGAACAACTGAACTCCTGTGTTAGCAACAGTTCCACCTTCAGGGAGCTGGATTCACTAATTAGAAGATATCTGGATACTTTTTAAAATATAGTGTACATTTAAATAAGCACACATAAGGAGATATATACATAAACATGTGTACCACAGAAAAACTGTCAATATTCCCAGAATGGAGCATAAAACGACTGGTGAAGCAGCCTTTTCTTACTGTGCTATACAGATTTCGAACACTTTACCTATTAGTATTTATCTGGTACCTACCGCTAGTAGTTTAGCACTTTATTAGTTCATCTCTTCTTTACGTTGTTGTTTTTCTGTTTACCTAGTATCTGTTTTTTTACTGTTTTAACTTTTATTTTTGTTTCATTTTCTTTCTAGTTAAATGCTCTATTGGTTTGATAATGATCAATGATTGACTCTATACATTTCTATTAAACAAATGTTTTCGTTTGGTTCGTTGTCTGCTGTTCACTACATTTTGTACAATGCCTTACTGTTTCATTTAATTATACTGTGAATCACTTTGTGCTGCACTTTTATGTATGAATGGTGCTATATAAATGATATTATTATTATTATTATTATTATTATTATTATTAATACCATGCCTTTTACTAACCACAGTCATTAAAAAGGCAGTTCCCCTTATGTGATAGAACGTGTGTTCGTGGGGATTGAAAGGGAGAGAGAGCGAGTGCTTATTAAGTCGTCTGGGTCTCCAACTGGCATATGGCTGTAGCATCTGCCTGAGAATAAGCCCTCAGTATCTGACTCCACTGACTACTCACACTCACATAGCATCAACTCTCATTCACAATCTGCTCCTGACTAGAGGCTGTATGCTCTCAATGGGAGAGAGAGAGACAGAGAGAGAGAGAGATTATGTAGAGAGAGTTTATCAAGGAATTCAGGTTGTAGGACCTGTAGCCTAGTAGCCTAAACATTACAAGTATATATCCAGTATAACATTACAAGTATATATCCAGTCTATTAGTGAATTCAGCTTCTTTAAGGTGCACTTATTACTGACACAAGCCTCTCAGTTGTGCACACACAGCGTTATGAAAAGATCTTTAAGAGAACCTTTCAAAAAGTCACCTTTTCAAAAAAGATTCTTCATAAAAATTAAGTTTAAAAGTTTCTTTATGGATCCCTAACTGGAACCCAAATCCTAAGGTCCTTATGATTCAGCAATAGCTTTGTTATGACACCAAACCAGACTAACGATGACCTAACTGCCAACAATATTTGTATTTATGAGCTCTTAGCTCATAGTTCATTATCAAATGCTGCCTTCCAGTCCTCCTCGCAAGTTCCTACTTACGACTTTGGGGGTCGTAAGTACGACTTGATTTGTGCTCAAGTGGTTTAGGTTGAAAATAAAATAGATACACTGTAAATAATGTTTCTGGTTTCCTTTTGTTTTTCTGTTATTAAAGAGAGTCTGTGTAAACGGCAACAAAGTGAAGAGCACAGGATGCTTATGAGAAGAGCAATGTTTTTATGCAGTTAGATGCATCACATAACATGTTTATGTCTGTATTTCCATGTGTGGATGGTTTTAGCCTGCAATGTTAGCTAGTCGTGTGGCTTATTAATAACTGAAATACAGCCAATTTATTAGCAGATATCATTGCTTTGCTTTTTTTTTGTTGACACGCCCCAACTCGGAAACTCGGGGCTCACTGAAAAAAAACAAGTTTCCCACTAGTAAATACGGCATTGTGGTGGCGTTAATGTGCATTCATCCCGCAAATCCGATGTTTCCGACGGGACTTGAAGGCAGCAAAACACCAGCTACTAATGTGTCCAATGAACTGCATGATGTCTAGCTAGCTTGGCGTTGCGCTATCTCGTCCATAAACCATAACAGTAGCTAATAAAACCTCACTTACCATTGTTATCCTTTTGGAATGTTTAAAAAATTACTTTTTAAGTTCATAGGCAAAAGAAGTTTAAGTCGGGAGCTGCTGGCTACCGTATACACAACGTTAGCTAGCATGGCATCTAACTTAGCTAACCTAACTAGCTGGCTAACTAGCCAGCTAACCGTAATATTCACAGCCTTAGCTCAGTAACGTTAGTCAGCTGACTGGTTGACTCGCTGGGCTACACTTCACTTGCTTGAGACAGATGTTCTCACAGTGCTGACAACGTTCGTGTGCTTAGTTTGTAAAACAGTTTGTGAGACGGTTCTTACTGAGGCTGTTCCACCTAGAACATTCACAATCACTGACAGCGTCTCTGCACGCGAGCGCGTGTCCTGAAGTGAAGCGGGAGGGTAACTGAAGCAGGATGGCTCCCTCTCAGTAACATTAGGGCGAGGACAATTTCTGCTATCAATCTCTAAGTCTCTCGGTATATTTCAGGAAATATAGTAGATTGGCAGTTCTGCCAAGTCTTTACATTTTAAATAGCCTTCTCCTAATGCCATGGTCTTGTGGCTTGGTTATTGCCTATTTCAAAATAAATAAGCCTGCTTAGGAAATTATTCGTTTATAGCTAGCTGCTGGCACATTACTGATGTGGGTCTATAGATAAAGCAGATAAAGCATTTTATTGTTTATTCTGCTATTGCTACGATGTCAGTCTTGTAACAATAGAGAATTGCTACATAAAACCAGTATATCGCTGCTGTTGGAACAAAAGCTTGTATCTTAATTTTCTGTCATTTTTCAGTTTTTGACATAATTTGAAAATGCCTATTGCCTTTTACATTGTATGTAAATTTCATGATGAACGGACCAAAAGAAATGGCCCAAAATTACTTGAACAAAAAGTCTGGTTCCATTGACGTACATTAAAAGTAAAGTATGTTTCTTCCTTCTCCTGTAAAGTTGCTATTTTGTTCCAATAGCAGCAAAATATATGTATATAGTTCTATATAGCACCAAAAGGGGTTCTTCTGTTGACATCGTAACAATAGAAGGACCCCTTTTGGTGCTAGTTAGAACCCTTTTCAAAAATATACTATATAGAACCTTCTACACCACATTCTCCATCAATGTGATGAACCATTTCACCATGCAAAGAAGAACAATGTGAGACACAGTGAGAACAAT